AAAACAACAGAAAACAACAGAGGAAAGATCTTTTGTTTTCAAACCCGAAGAAGAAAAAAAGCTAATTAATCCCCTTGCTGAAAATCCTGTAAGCAACAAAAAGGACAGTTGCAACCCCAAAACAGTAACTACCAACACCGTTGGCCGGAGATGATGACATTAGACTGATCCTTATCCTTGGCCTCCATTTGGAGCTTCACAAGCGTGTGAAGCTTTTTCTCCATCTTTTTCTGGAACATCTTATCCTCTGCCCTTCCTGTCTACCTTTTCTCAAAGTCTTTCATTCTTTGCCTTCATTAGAAATAGAGATCATTTTTCTTTTGCCTATGATTTTTGAAATATTACGCTATTGCCAATGGATCCAATGGTAGGACCCTCATAATATCATTCCAGAAAACCTTATTCACCTTCAGATTAGCCCACGCCTTATCTTCGGCCAACTTCAAGCACTCCTTTACTCCACCCATCTTCATCACAAACTCATTCTTCTTCTTTTCGGCCAAGGTTTTTACCCCTTCCTTCATTCCAGCCCCAAACTTCTAATTTCCGGCCAACTTTTTCACGAACTCATAACTTTTTCTTTCGACCAACTTTTTTTGGAGAATGGATTGGGAAACAGAACAGGAGTAGATAGAAAGATAGGAGCGGAAATTTTGTTGTTGAGAGTTCGTATATGAGATAGAATAGAGAAAAAGGAAGACAGAAATTTCAAAATTATCAAACCAATGGAGTTGGGCAGAGTCTACATATATATATATATATGTATGTATATAAAAGAATATTGAGTCCAAAATCAATTTGGGATACGTGAGGGCCCAGTTTGCCATTTGTCAAATAAAAAACTAGTCCTCTCAAACAATCAACTTTACTTTTTACACGGTCTGAATTCTGAAACGTCACTCACAAATGGAAAAGGATTCACACTAAGCCTGAAATTTTATAACTATTTTTTATTCTTTCTTTTTACCAAATTCATTAATAACTGGTTTGGTTGTGAAATTTGTTCCACTCAATTTCAAAACATGAAGGAGTACATATAGTCACAAAAGCAAAAAATCAATGGAATCACCAAATTGAAGATTTCATGTCAAATACTGTAGCATTAGAATTACAGAAGTGACAAACCTTGTAATATATACTCCCTTCGGTCCTTAATATATATAAGACATTTTCATTTGTCTTAGGTTTTATATAGTATGCATTTTTAAATTGAGAATTCTTTTTTATAAATATGTCTTAATAATTAGGAAAACATAAGAAATGTGAAAATGTGTTTTTAAGATTTTTTCTTCAATTAAAAATAAATATTAGGTGAAACTTATGACAAATCAAAATGTCTTAATATTAAACAGTATAAACAATTGATCATGTCCAAATTAATTACTCAATGCTGCCGTTTAATTTTCTTCTACAGATATCCAAAACTATAAACTTACTGAAATACTTATTCACACACCATATATATTCTCATCGTGATAATCGTGAGAAAAGAAGATCGGATATTGCCATTTGCAAATTGTTACGGTAGCTACCATGCAAATCAGGGAATTTGATTGGTTTCTTTCGATCGAATCACCAATAAATTAAACCCAGATTCTTATTCCTAAGGAGATGAAAAAACTTTTTAGGATCAAACATTTTGCTGGTTTAATTTTCAGCCAAAACTGGTCAACATTTTCTTCACCAACACTGGTCATCCTTAATTTTGTTACGTGTTGATCCATTTGTACACTGGTCCCACCGTTTGATCAAAGATTGGGATTTATATTGTAGTGGATTAATGGAGTCCATTTTCATATTGATATAATGCATGAGAGAGTTAGAACCGATATATATGGTCTTTGAAAAAGCTATCATTGTAAGGTTGTGATACTCAAATACGAAGGATTGAATCATTTTTTGTTGTACTAATTAATTGCTGATTAATTTTCTCAGTGACTGTAACCATAACAAAGAGGCCTTGGATATCAATTTCAGCTATACCTTGTCATAATCCTACTCCCAAAAACATGTAACGATTTCTTTAATTTTAACCTTGCATACCAATTATTGTCTCAAAATCAGTTTATTACAATTAGAGATATCTCAAAATTATTATCATGTATTACACGGAATATAATGTGTATGGGAGCTTGATATCACATGAATTTTTAAGAAGAAGAGGAAACTTTAAAGTTGTGATGAAGCTAAAGGAATGATATATTAAACAAGATAAAACAATGAACAAATAATGCCCTAAATGTACGATAATTAAACAACAAAAGAAAGATCTTTTGTTTTCAAGTTTCAACAAAAGCTAATTAGAAACTAAACCTGAAAAAAATTATAAGCTAATTAATCCCCTTGCCGAAAACCCCGTAAGTAACAAGAAGGAAGGTTACAACACAAACCCCAAAGCAGTAACTACCAACACCGTTGACCGGAGATGACGACATCAGATTAATCCTTATCCTTGGCCTCCATTTGGAGCTTCACAAGCTTCTTCTCCATCTTCTTCTGGAACACCTTATTCTCTGCCCTTTCTAATCTCCCTTTTCTCCAAGAGTTTCATTCGTTGCCTTCGCTGGAAATGGAGATCATTTTTCCTTTGCGTATGGTTTTTGATATACAACGCTATTGCCAATGGATTCATTGCCTAGACCCTCACAACATCATTCCAAAAGTCCTCATTCACCACCTTCAGATTAGCCCATGCTTTACCTCCGGCACTCCACTCCACCCATCTTCATCACGGACTCATTCTTCTTCTTTCTGACCAAGGTTTTCACTCTTTCCTTCATTCTAGCCCCAAACTTCTTCTTTCCAGCCAACTTTTTCACGAACTCGAAGCTTTTTCTTCCGACCTTTATTTTTTTGGAGAACGGGATTGGAAAACAGAAGATGAGTAGATGGAAAGATGGAACCTGAGGACTGAAAATTTTGATGTTAAGAGTTCAGAGAAAAGAGAGAACAGAGATAAAGAGAGATAGAAATTTCAAAGTTTTCAAATCAATTGAGTTGGACAGAATTTATTATACAAAAAAAAAACGAATATTGAGTCCAAAATCAATATGAGATATGTAAGGGCCCAGTTGTCCATTTGTCAAATAAAAAACTAGTCTTCTCAAACAATCAACTTTACTTTTTACACGGTCTGAATTCTGAAATGTCATTCGCAAAAAATAGGATAAAAAATCGCACAAGGCCTGAAATTTTATAACTTTTTTTTTTGTTCTTTATTTTTACGAAATTCATTAATATCTAGTTTGGGTCTTAAATTTGCTCCACTCTATTTCAAAACATGGAGTAAATGTATTCCTAAAAGAAAAAATCAATTGCATCACCAAAGTATTTTCTTGGTATGCAGATTGCTAGAAGTGATTCTGGTATGTATTTGAGTCAAACTAAATATGTGACTCATCTTCGTGATATTGGAATCCTTGATGCCATTCCTATCTCTACTCCTTTCCCTCCTGATTGGAAATTTCCAAAGAAAGATCCAACTCCCTTGTATTCTGATCATGCGGCTTACAGAAGACTTGTGGTCCGACTTCTTTATCTCGGCTTCACTAGGCCTAATTTGACTTACGATATTCAACAGTTTAATGAATTTGTGCATAACCCTCATGAATCTTACAGGACTGCAGCTATACATCTTCTTCATTATCTGAATGGTACCATTCGCAGGGTATGCATTATTCTTCTACCTACAGCACTGATTTGACAGCCTATTTTGATGCTGATTGAGGTTCCTGTCAGTTTTGCCGTCATTCCTTGACAGGATATTGCATATTTCTACGCTCATGTCTTGTTTCTTGGAAGACAAAGAAGCAAGCTACTAAATCTACCTCCTGTGCTGAATCTGAATATCAGGCCATGGCAGCTAAGGTCTAAGAACTGAAATAGCTTATCTCCTGAAATATCTCTCACTTTCTCCTTTTTTTTCCTATCTCTTATTGGTGTGATAGTCGTGCTGCTCTATATTACTGCCAACCCTGTTTTCCACAAGCGCACGAGACATACTGAAATATATTGTCATGTCGTAAGAGATACAAAGATGGATTTATCCTTTGTTCACCAAGTCCTTAGTCGCTCCTATTTTCCACCATCTTCTTGGCAAGATGAGTCTTTGGACTTCTACTCAGGCTCATCTTGAGGGGGTTGTGAAGGAAATACAGATTGATGATGATCAAAAGCTTAAAGAAGTTGCAGTTGTAAATAGAGTAAATATAGTTTCCAGTACTGTTAATAAGGATGTTTACTCATGTATAGAAATACCCTTTGGTTAGGCTTGTAGTAAGGTTAGTATAGACTTTGTACATATATGCAATTAGAGTAGTTCATATATAAATTAGACGTTGATACGATCAATAATGAATAAGAACATTACAGACACATTTAATACACTATACAGATTCCCTAAATTCTCTCCGACTTCGAAGAACCCTAACCTCCATTGACAATCCTCATTTCGTTCATAAAGGGTGTTAAAATTCCCTTTGAACTTGAAAACAAATGAAATTCACTAGTACCATATTAGAAATGGTAACCCAATTAGACCAACATATATATCCCATGTACTATTCCCTTTATTGCTAATTGGTTTTGAGGTGGAACCATGTGTGGACTTATATGAGCCTCCAAGATGTTGCCTATAGAATTTTGATGCTATCTTGTTTGTTTGATGGGATTTTCGAGTTGTAATCCGAACATTTTATAATTTTGCTTCCCCCCTCGCTGAACTGTTAAACTGTATTTATGGTTCACTCTTCAATTCAAGTGATGTTTAGAGATTGATTATTAAAAGAATCATCATAACTTTCGGATTCTTGCTTTGTTAGCTGCATTTGCTTGTTATCTGATGGCTTTCCATTCTTTAAAAAAAAAAAAAACAAAAGAAGCTGCATTTGCTTGTTTTTCCCTCTTTTTGTTGTCTCCGTTCAGTATTTTTCTTTCAGTTGCGATGAACAATGGCAGGGGATGTATTGAAACTTTGGAATTATATTATCTAATATGCTTCCTAATTATATCTATTGCTTAAAATTTTGGATAAAACTCTCCCTTACAACCCCTGGTGGGAATCGAACCCGGTTATAGATATAATTAGGAAATTTCTGCCCTCCTATTCCAAACATTTTAAGCAAGTCATTCACAATGGGATGGAAGCTACTCTATTTTTCAGCCTCCATGAAAGGCAGAAATTTCCCTACTGAATTCATGAAGTACCAAATTAACTAACTGCATCTCTTGATTCCAAATGCTCAAGTTTAGAGACTAGATTGATTCCTCGTCAATGAGTACAAATCGCTACTGATTATTCAAAGCAGCATAAAATTAACTGCATTAGCAATAATGATATACCATCAAATACAAGCATTAAAAAAATTGCCAGTATGCTCATAACTTCTTAGTGAGCTTTTCTCTCATCCTCTCAACAGCACTCCTGAGAGTTTCTTCATCTTTGCAGAAAGTAAACCTTACAAGATTCTTTCCCTCTTCAGGATTCAGATAAAATACACTTGTTGGAATGGCCACGACTCCAACTTCCTTGATTAGATACTCACAAAAGGCAACATCATTCTCCAGCCCAAACGGGGTGTGATCCACCATGACAAAATAAGTTCCACTGGACGGGTACACAATGAAACCTGCAGCCTTCAATCCATCCACAAGGATTGCTTTCTTTGCCATGTAGTCACGCTTCAGCTCCTCATAGTATGAATCTGGGCAACTAAGGGCCGTAGATGCTGCATATTGCATAGGGGTTGATGTTGCAAAGGTTAGATATGAGTGAGCTTGCCTCACGCCCCAAGTCAAGTGAGGGGGTGCTATTGCCCAACCAATTTTCCAACCTGTCAGTGAAAACGTCTTCCCTAGTGAATTCATTGTGACAGTCCTCTCAAACATCCCCGGAAGAGAAGCTATAGAGATGTGATCCATTTCAAAAGCCAGTTTGTCATAAACTTCATCACTGAAAACCAAAACATCATTTTCAATGCACAATGAAGCTATCGCATTGAGTTCTTCCCGAGTGAACATCTTCCCCGTGGGGTTATGCGGAGTATTCATAAGGATGGCTCGGGTATTTTTGGATACCAGTGATTTGAGCTCATCAAGAGGAACTGAAAAATCTGGAGGCCTTAGTGTCACACTCTTTATTTTAGCACCAGCCATCGACAGTGTAGCTTCATAGGAGTCATAAAAAGGAGCAAAAAGAATTACTTCATCACCCGGATTTATCAAGCCCAAAATGGTTGCAGCAATAGCTTCAGTGCATCCTGAGGTCACAGTTACTTCTTTCTCAGCATTTACCCTAATTCCAGTGTCTTTCTCGAACCTAGCAGCAATAGCAGAATTGAGGTCTGGCACACCGTATCCTCGTGCATATTGATTTTTTCCATCTTTAATGGCTTGAATAGCTGCTTCCTTGACAAATTCAGGTCCATCAAAATTGGGGAAGCCTTGCCCAAGATTGATAGCTCCATGCTTAATTGCCAGCATACTCATTTGCGTGAAAATGGTAGTTTTGAATTTCTCTAGTCGCTTTGCAACCTGAAAGGAAAGATTGTCATATAAAAGAGATGAATGTGTTTATACGAAACTGTCATGAAGTTGAAAGAATCTCATGAACATTATAGAAACATAACAAATTTGAGGAACTGGAAAAGAAACAAATAAATCATGATTCATAATCCTTCCTATTAGTCCAGCAAATTGATTGGCAGTTATAAAAGAATGCTATGCTACTGGCCGTTTCATCTTAATAATTCTTTAAGTCCAAAAGACTTTGAGCAGGTCTCATCTTGATTTAGGACCTCTTCCCTCAATCCAGATCAAATCAGAGCATAGATCAATGGAACAAAAAGTTCCACATATTTATGATCTACACAACTAACGCTACTCTTTCTCTCCTCCAAATAGTTTCATATGCAACCATTTTTTGCTAAATTACATGACAAGAGCACTAGGAATATTCACAACAAAAGAATTGACCGGATAAGCTTTGCTCAAATCCAAAAGTGACAGGAAAAAATCATTAAGAATGTCGACCGTTACTCTGCTTCAAATCACATAATTAACATATTCTATCACTTTCAAAAAAAGAACACAATTTTAATAAAATAAATCTATTTTTCCAATTCATAGTTCGCATGCCATGAGCAATAAGTTGCACATTTTTAAATTGCACAGTAGTCAGGTCTGACTTCAGAGTAATGAACACGGATTACTACAGCACTTCGACATATGTAGTAGCTTCTCAAACCCCCTACAATTAAATTACAAGCTTTTATTGGTTGGCCAGCAATATGATTAAGTGACCAAAAACTGGAGGACACCAGCAGCACAACAAGGAAATAGTGAATGTGGAAGAATAGGAAGCTTCCGGTTAAAACAAACATTAGCTCATCTAAGTAAACGGGAAACTAAACGTGACCGTGTGACAGGACACTAAAGTGCCTGCTCAAGATATATTGACAAACCTCCTTGGGCTCTAAAAAAGGAGTTTAAATTTTATACAGTTGGAGATGTTTCATGACAAATGGTTAATTGTTACAGATACAAGTAAAAGGAGTATCATTTTTGTGCCCTACGAAACTTATACACAGTACTATATAACCATTCAACTTAACAATCCTAGAAAGAGTTGTTAGTACACTACTATTTTAGTAGGAGCAGCAAATTATAGGGGAAATGTCGTATAGCAAGTAGCAGCTATGACAGCGAAAGAAAGCTAGCAGTATAAAGTAGCATCAGCCGAAAAAATGACGCGGCTGGAAGCTTGAAAAGAAGCAACACCACTTTGATTCATGGTTAACATGAACAAAGGCAAGGGTTTTAAGAAAAAGCCAATAGAAACATGAACATAGGCACATGGCCGTGAAAGAGAACTCTTAGTTCTAAAAACTCAATTATAAAAATCTCCCCAAAAACATATGTATTTAAAGGTAAACCCTAGATTAAGAAAAGGAAAATAACTAATAAAACTTAAAGATTTCTGAAATTAAACCCCAATACGTATCTTCTCCAGTATCCGAAGTAAATCAGGCAGCACTAACAAAGCATTCAAGTAGCAGCAAATCAATAACTATACACCATATCAGTGCAAGATATAGGATTCTCAATGATTTTGAACTGTTTGAAAAAACAATGATATTGAATTCCGATAGTGAGGAGTGAGAACACCCAATTCCAAAGATCTATTTCACATTTGCAGCTATGTTCCAAACATTACATATGATATACATCATATGAAATTGGTAATTACCAATAAGACAAGTATCACTGCATCGCATTGGAAAGCAGTGTAGTAAATATCTATCATAGTTCGAATGAATAAGAATATGGAATTTTCAAAGTTAGTCAACCGAAACAAAAAGAACTGTGTCAAGCTTCAATCTTTAATTCGTAGAATTCAAGCTTAAAATGAACCAACACTACCGAATCAAACATCTTATACCAGCTTCACTCAACTGCCGCCTATAGTAGTTCTATTTAGCAAATAACAATAGGCGAAGGACCTCTCAGTCAGACACTTTAACAAGGAAGCTCAATTGTCTAAGGGGATGAGCAAAGCACTATCCTAAACCTAACCTCCTACTACCTAAAGCCATTCCCAGAGGGAAAAACTATATTTTCAAGTATCATACCTCAATTTTTTCTGTAAACTAAAACTACGATGGGCGAACAATGAGCCAGTTAATACTATTCTTGACCAAAAGTGACAAGGACACAACAAAAGCAATAAACTGAAAAGTAACAAGATGGCCGAAATCTGATGAAACACAGAAATCGTGATGAAAGGAGTTATGCCACTTTACAGCATATCGCAGTATCTATTCTTGTTCCATCTTCAATATATCATAAGTCATCTCTGGGAGATTCAACATGTACAATGTCGAAGGCATACATCTTCCAGAACAGGGATAAATTTCTCACAGATTGGGTGAAGTGTAAATACTTAAACCTATACAAGTATGTGCATACGTAGGTTACACTCCGTACAAAGAAACAAAGATAGTTCTTTGCTGCAGTCATCTCAAAGATCTAGCACCTCAACATTTCGTTGCGTGAATGTCACAGTCAACGCAATAAATCAGCATCGGATCAACATCTCACCAGATTACTTGATGTAAGGAAGAATGATAAACTCAAACGTCAAATCAATTATGCACAATATTAACATGATTGCGAAATCATGCAGGTTAATGTCGACCAATTCCTTATGCTCAGTAAAAAAAAAAAAAAAAAAAAAAGGGTCTCCACGGAATTTTCTATAAGCTAAAATAAATGTGTCTCTTGGCCAATTTTCTACAAGCTAATTAACCTTAAAAGGACAATTTTTCGCATGAAAAAAATTATGATGAATCAACTGTAAAGGCCACCAACAATGATTTCACAACTTCCATCCAGCATAGAACTCGAGGGACAAAATCGAATAAAGCATAAAGATTTTAAATCAGAGCAGAAAGAAGAGCTGAAAAAACGGAAATCATAAAGAAGGAGAGATCCCGAATGGTAATAGAAAGAAGAGTACCTGCAAAGGGGGCTGAGGGGTGTCATCCTTGGGCGGAACAACCACGTCGTTTTGGGTGGAAACAGTGGAGACGGACGACGCCATAAGTTGTGGTGGTGGTGGAACGATGGGTTTGGTAGGAATGCCAAAGCCAAAGGAGGGGTTTTTCCGGGGGAGGGAGTTTAATAGACAAGGAAGGGGTCTGAATGACGGCCTAAATCTAAACATTTCACTGGATTTTGTCCAGGTACATTGAACTGAATACTTCTCAAGCATTACCAACCAAATCAATTCAGGAAAAGGAGAACCAAAATTAGTTAGGAATCGGAACCTATCAGAAAAGTACTATAACTAGCTAGTTAGTTCTACTACAATGGTAATTGTAATTGTGTGCTGGAGATTCTATATTCCTTCAGTTCATCCGTTTTGGTAAAATTAGAGTCAACGGACACTTCCCAGTTCCCAGCCAGGTGCATACGACACGATTGGTTGGAAATCTTTTTAAGGCTTTGATTTTTATTTTTTTTTTAATTTTTTTGTGGAATTAAATTGCTCAAATGGTCCTTTATATGTATGTTTCCATCAGTTTTCACCCATAAAATTTCATTAAACACAAATTATCCTTCTAACTTTATAACACTTGTTTGAACCAAAGACACAAGTGGCTAACTGTTGCAATTTATACCATCTTGCAAAATTTGTCAAAATTGGTGGTTGTTCATAATCAAATCTTTCTGTTTAATGAGCTATAAATGGCTCATCTCATATTATCTGAAAATTCTTTTTATTTTGTAGTAATATGAAAAACAAATGTATATGAAGAACAGATACATTAAGTTTGGTATTAAACTCTTTCAAGCAAAAGTATCTCTAGTTAAACATCCAACAATCTTATGTGCATTTGATTGGAACTGAAAGATCAAATCAATTGACCAGTTCTCTCTTTTCTTGAATTACAACAGAAAAAATAAACTTTCCAAACTGATTTAAAATGCCGTGAAGGCAGCTAACTAAAGCATATAGATTAATAAAATAAAAGGACTTTTTTTTTTTATTTTACTGGGTAAAAATAATTCAAATTTTCATAGGTTCCGTACTACAAACATTAAAAAAAAAATAGAAGGGAAAAAAGATCTTTGCAGTACAAGATCCCTGGCTGAGCTTTAAAAACCTTCCTCTCACCGTTTTTTTTAAGTGTTATTGACATAGAAATTAACTCTTCTCGTTTGCAATATGTTTTTCTGATGTCCATTACAAATCTGTTGGTTCTGAGAAGGAACAGTTTTAGTGAATTATCATTTTCATCTTATAAGACCAGAGTGTGTGAGGCTCATACATCGTCACGTCAAACATGCTCTCGGAATGTGATTAAAGTACTACATATTGCTCTTGGAATTGCAATTTTGTTCAAAAAATCTCTACATGCTTCCAATCGCGGCAACGTTTACCAGCAAAGCCATCCACTCCCGGAGAACTTGAAGAATCTAAGCCAAAAACCACATGCCTTAAATCATCAAGAGTAATTTCTCTAAGCTGCACTTCATTTTTTTTTCTCTAACCTTGATCCTTACAATAACGTTCGGAGGGAGTACGTTTTTCCAAAATGAAAATTTGATTTTTTTTTTTTTACCAATATACAAACCAATTCAATTGTCTATATTGTGAGCAACATGATCGGAGTATCTACTTTAAGCTTTAACTTATGTTAAGTCAGCCTAAAATATTTAATACTGTCCGTGAAATCTTGGTCAGTTAAATTAATTATTAAACTTATTGTATTTTTGTTTTTTATTTTTACCACTTATTCATTATCTTAACTTTATTCACTTTTAGAAAATTTTAATATTTATTTAATGGTAGATCGTAGATATATCATTGTTGTCCTCTCTATATAATATCATTCAAAACTGTTTTTTTTTCTTCCATTTAACACTTTAGTTGTTTCGCCAGTCATTGGTGAGTATAATTTAATAATCTAATTGTTTCGTTGGTCATTGATTTTCTATTTAGTCTTTCGTCATTAAATTGATTTTCAATGTATTTTATTTTAGTAATTTTCACCGGTTTCATTTATTGTGGTCATTTTGCATTATCTATTTTTAATCATTTTCTTTTTTTGGTAAAAACTGTAAATCTTCATTGCAAAATGAGAAGCGTTTAAGTACAAAATTCCTACCAAAATTGCACTATTTACACAAATTTACATTCAAGAACCAGCATACTACTCTAACTCTGGATCAATCCTTGGATGATGCTCTGCTTAGTTACTGTCACTTTCCTTTTGATGCAATATTGCAGCCTCACCTTGACCACTTTCTGAATTTCCTCAAACAACATCTCAACTGTCCTTTTTTGATTCCTGAAGATTCTCCCATTGCGTTCCTCCCAAATTATGCAGATGCAAGCCAATATAGCTGCATACATGATCTGTTTTTTCAGCCTAGTGTGCCTCCAAATGTGAAGAACTTGTCTCTGCCACCTCCTAAGCTGTGTAGACAACCCAGTCATTCTAAGCCAATATTTCACTCTTCTCAGAAGGTCACTGGCAATGGTGCATTTGAAGAACAAATGATTAAGAGACTCATTCTGAATTTCACACAAACAACAAATATGATTCTGTACAGGGATAAGGAGCTGCAAAAGTCTGTCTTTAGTCCAAATTCTGCCTTTTCAGACCAATTAAGCAATAAAGGAATGCTTGGGAACATTGAGTTTGGACCAAAGTACTTTTGTAGTAGGCCACTTCCCTTGATGCCCTTGAAGCCAATGGTGACCAGAATTGATGGTGTATCTCCCTTTCCTATTTCCTTTCCATTTACCTCCATCAATTCCATCTTTGGCTTTATCCCTCATTTTTAAAATCTGTTTCCAAGACCAACTTCCATATGGTTTTCCCTCTACTTCCCATATGCTTTTCTTTTTCAAATAAACTTCATGACACCACTTCATCCAAAGACTATCCTTTTTACTTGCTATCCACCATACTTGCTTGAGAATAGCTGCTTCATTCCACACTTTTGCATCATGAATGCCAAGCCCCCCTTCTGCCTTGCTCCTACAGACTATGTCTCATCCAACCAATGCTGAGTATCTCCCTGAGTCTTTGACTCCCCATAGGAAGGCCCTACATTTTCTGTTCACAGCCTCTATAATACTGTGAGGTAAAATGAACCCAGAAGCCCAGAAAATGTGCATATTCATGAGAACAACATTAATTAACTGCAGTCTCCTAGCATAAGACAAATGTCTTGTGCTCCAACACTGTAATCTCTTCGTAATTTTATCCACCAAAACCTGACATTCAGCTTGATTCCATTTCTTAGGGGACAAGATCACCCCTAAGTATTTCATCGAGAATATCCCCTCCTTATATCCAGCAGTCTCACAAATTTTCATCTTTATCTTCTCAGTTACCCCTCCGACTAAAACTTCATATTTCGATTGATTGGCTTTTAAACCAGAAGCAGCAAAGAATTCATTAAAGGCCAGTGTCATATATTCTAGAGTAGTAATGTCATCTTGCAGAAGATCATCAGATCATCTGCAAAGCAAATATTACTTGGCTTCATCTTCCTACATAAAGGGTGGTATTGAAACCCAGGCTTCTTAGCTGATTCTCTTAACAATCTTATTAGGTATTCCATCAACAACATGAAGATCAAAGGGGAGACTCGATTCCCTTGTCTTAGGCCCCTCTTACCCTTAAAATACCCCACATTTGCTCCATTTAAGTTCAACGAGAAAGAGGTTGATCTAACACATTCCATGATCCGCCTTGTGAAATTCCGAGGGAACTTGTAACCTAACAGACATTCCTCTACAATGTCCCATTCAACCGAATCAGAGGCTTTTTGGAGATCCAATTTCATCATACACCTTCCACTTATCCCTTTCCTTCGATACAACCTTATTAATTCTTGAGTAATTAATATGTTGTGCAATATCAGTCTACCCCGAACAAATGTCCCTTGATTTTCATCTATAATTCTAGGCAATACAGTTTTTAATCTATTACAAAGCACTTTAGATATAACTTTATAGATGATATTACAACATGCTACTGGTCTATATTCACTAGCATTACATGCATTTTTAATTTTCAGAATTAAAGCAATAACAGTAGAATTAATTTGTTTCAGCAACATACCAGTATCAAAGAACTCCTGGATTGCTGCTGTAACCTCTGCTCCTGTTACTGTCCACGTTGCTTTAAAAAAATCGCTTCCATATCCATCCGGGCCGGGGCTTTTGTTGATGTTGATGCTGCACAAAGCAGCTATAATCTCCTCAGGCGTGATTGGTGCTATCAACTTCATCTGCTCTTCCAAATTAAGTTTAGGCCCCTGCTTGAACACTTCCTGTCTTACTGATTGCCTCTTAGCTGTTCTACCCAACTGGTATTGAAAAAACTGTACGAAATGGCTCTCCACATCTAGCCAATCCCTGACAATTTTTCCATTTTCCTTTGTGATGGACCATATCTTATTTCTCATATTTAACTGTTTGAGCTTGGAATGAAAAAAATTGTTGTTTGTATGCCCCTCTTTGATCCAGTCCTCTTTTACTTTCTGCCCCATGAAACTGTCAAACGCCACTTAAGTGCTGACATAGTGTTTATAGGCTTCTCTCTCATCTTTTTGTAACTCCACATCGGCTGGGGATGCTGCTACTCTCTGTTGTATATGTTCCAGCTCAATTTGGGCTTCCTGCAAGTTCCTTTGAATATCAGAGAATCTGTTCCTATTCAATGCTTTCAAGTCTTGCTTCAAGGCTTTCATTTTTTTGACCACCTGATACATTTTAACTCCTCCGATCCTGGTCCTCCATCTTCTTTCTACTATTGCCAAGCAATTTGGATCTATCTTCCACACGTTGAAGTATTTAAATGGTCTTGGAACCTCCCATCTCCATTTCCATCTGAATCATCAATGGGGTATGATCAGAGATACCTTCATTGAGAACAGTGACTAAAGATTGGTTATACATATCAACCCACTCTCCATTTACTAAAACCCTGTCTAATTTGGCATAGATTCTTCTTCCACCAACCTGTTTGTTACACCAGGTATAGAGAGGGCCTTGTTGCCTCAGGTCCTGTAATCCACATGCTTCAATGCACCTGAATGACTCTATTTCAGTGGCTGTAACTTGGTTGCCCCCCCCCCCAGTTTCTCACCCTCATGAAGTACATTGTTGAAATCCCCACAAATGATCCATTCTTGGTTGATGGTTTGACTGAGCTCTACTAACTCCTCCCACAACTTGAGTCTATTATTCTCTTCATTACTGGCATATATAGATGTTAACAGAAACTTATGTCCACCATGCTTATCATTAGCCAAACAATGCACAAATTAGTTTGAACTATGGAGAATCCTTAGTTCAAATGTGTCATCCCACATCATTAAAATTCTTCCCTTCCTATCTTGCTCTCTATTTACCTGATAGTACACTGTCTAAACATTTTCCCCATAATCTCCTCCATCTTATCCTTTTTCATCTTTATCTCCATTACACATGCTATATTAATTTTATTAGAAGATAAAACTCTATAGAGCTCCTTCTGCTTCATAGGGGCATTAAATCCCCTTATGTTCCAAGAGATTATGTTATACATAGATAACGGGGTCAGAATCAGGCTCTATATGCTCCTTTCCCTTCCCTTGTTTGGTAACAACACCTTCAATCTTTTCCACTAAGCAGAGTATATTATCCTCTGATGATCTCCTCAAAAGTGAGAAACTGTTAGGGCTTGTGGCTTGATCTGATTTCTCTTCTCCCGTCCCGTGGTTCAGGCTTAGTGGTTTCGTTTTTGGCTCCTGCACTCCTTCATTCTGCTTAGTTTTTTCTACTTTCCTCCACTCTTTCTCCTCCTTTTCCTTACTCTCCTCAACAGGTTTATTCTCAACAGGTTTGTTTTCTTTGGGGATTTGTGGCTTCTGCTTTCTGCACTGCTTGGTTTCATGCCCATATCCTGAGCAACATTCACAGTAAATTGGCTTCCACTCATAGTGAACTATTTGTTCCTGGAGTAATCCTTTCTCATCCTCAAAATACACATTACCAGGTACTGCAGGTTTAATTTCCATCTCAACTAGCAACCGGGCATAATTCACCCTTTCTCTACTTTCAGTGAGTTCATCAGTCATAATGGGGGTACCTAGTGTGCTAGCAATACTACTAAGAGATTCTGAATTCCAATATTTCAATTCTAGCTTTGGAAACTGGATCCATATTGGTACTTACTAACATTCTTATAGTTTATACCTTCTTCAACAGACCATGGTTTCACAATAATCGGGCATCCATACAAAAATGATAAATATTCAATTTAAGGGCTTCTTCCCTAGCATGCATAGAGTTAAATTTGATTAAGAACATACCTGGAGGTAGAAGCAACACCTTATCAATTCCCAGATGCCCCCATAACTTCCGATTGTATGCATCCATAACGCGAAACGACGGGTGAGCTCTAAGCACATAGTTGATAACAGACAACTCCCAAAAATCTGCTTCAATCTGAACCTTTTGTGGTTGAATCTTTGCTAGTGCCACACCATTAACCTGTAGTGGAGGCACAAAATTCAGCTTGGCCCCCGATTTCCTCATTTTGTTCACGTCAAAGGTCTCCCATACATTCGGCCTCTCTGCTTCCCCTTTGCCCTCTTACCATATTAATTCTCTCTTCCCAGATGATTTCTCTGATCCATTAATCGCTTGGATAAAGCCAAATGGTTTCTCAATCTCATCTTCTCTGTTTCCCCAATTTCCTTAGGGTTTACGTTCGTCGGAGTGGTTGTCTGCTGCTTCCTGCTTGACTATCTTTTGCTTTCCCTTCATTTTGAGCATTTTTCTGCACTGGTTTCCTTCCACGAGCCATGGCATGACGTATGTTAGTGGAGGTCTAACATGTGCCAAGAGCAGAAGGAGAAGAGAGAGAAAAACGTCTAAATTAATGTGGTTATTTTTTTTTTGAAGCACACGAATTCTGTAATCATTTTCTTTGCCTTCTAATTTTTTAATCATTTTAACAAATTTTTTTTATTGAAGTTGTAATTATTAAATATTTCTTCCTCCTTAATGATATAACATAACTGTTTTTCTCCTCCATTAGTCTTTATCAAGTCAGTTAAATAAATTCTTAAATAAATTTTATTTTTATTTTTTTTACCACTTATTTATTATCTTAACTTCAATCACTTTTAGGAATTTTTAATTTTTAATTAATGGTAGATCGTAGATATATCATTCTTGTCCTCTCTATATAAGATCATTCAAAACTGTTCTTTCTTCCATTTAACACTCTTATAAATTTAATAATCTAATTTTTTCATCGGCCATTGGTTTTCCATTTAGTCTTTCGTCATCAAATTGATTTACAATATATTTTATTTTGGTAATTTTCACCGGTTTTATTTATTGCAGTCATTTTGCATTCTCCATTTTTAATCATTTTCTTTGCCTTCTAATTTTTTACTCGTTTTAACCAAAAACAATTATTGAAGTTGTAATTTTTTAAATAATTTTTCCTCCTTAATGATATAAGATAACTATTTTTCTCCTCCATTAGTCTTTATCAAGTTAGTTAAATTAATTCTTAAACTTATTGTATTCTTATTTTTTATTTTTACCACTTATTAATTATCTTAATTTCATTCACTTTTAGAAATTTTTAATTTTTATTTAATGGTAGATCGTAGATATATCATTGTTGTCCTCTCAACATAATATCATTCAAATTTGTTTTTTTTTTCTTCCATTTAACACTCTAATTGTTTCGCCGGTCAGTGGTGAGTATAAATTTAATAATCTAATTGTTTCGTCAACCATTGGTTTTCTATTTAGTCTTTAGTCATCAAATTGATTTTAAATGTGTTTTATTTTAGTAATTTTCACCGGTTTCATTTAATGTAGTCATTTTGCATTCTCCATTTTTAATCATTTTCTTTGTGTTCTAAGTTTTTACTCGTTTTAACAAAAAAAATTTATTGAAGTTGTAATTGTTTTAATATTTTTTCCTCCTTAATGATATAACTTAACCGTTTTTCTCCTCCATTAGTCTTTATCAAGTCAGTTAAATTAATTCTTAAACTTGTTGTATTTCTAATTTTTTTTATTTTTACCACTTATTCATTATCTTAATTTCATTCACTTTTAGAAATTTTTAATGTTTATTTAATGGTAGATCATAGATATATCATTATTCTCCTCTCTATATAATATCATTCAAAACTGGTTTTTTTCCTTCCATTTAACACTCTAATTGTTTCTCTGGTCATTGGTGAGTATAAATTTAATAATCTAATTGTTTCATCAGCCGTTGGTTTTCTATTCAGTCTTTCATCATCAAATTGATTTTCAATGTATTTTATTTTAGTAATTTTCACCGGTTTAATTCATTGTAGTCATTTTTGCATTCTGTATTCTTAATCATTTTCTTTGCCTTCTAATTTTTTACTCATTGTAACAAAATTTTTTTTTGTTGAAGTTGTAATTTTTTAAATATTTTTTCCTCCTTAGTGATATAAAAGAGACAATCAACGATATTTATGTACTATGCAAATAAAAATTGGTTGCGCAACGCGCGACTATAGACAAACTAGTATATATATAATGATAGAAATAATAAATACTCCTTCTGTCCCAAAATTATTGTCCAGTTTGAGATTTCACTAGTAGTACAATTCGCACTAAAAATGAAAACTCAAACTGGATAATAATTATGGGATGAGGAGAGTATATAAAACGGGGGAAAATTTACTTATTAATAGCTGAAAAAAAAAATGAAGAACAAAATATGTTTAGGGTTTAAATTGTAGCCAAAAATAGCTTTCTCGCGCTTCAGAAACGCAAAAAAACCAAAATCCGCGTTTTGAAAACGCTAAAAACCAAAATTCGCGTTTTGAAAACGCTAATATATGTTTTTCGCGTTTCAGAAACGCGAAAAATAAGAAGACGTAATTAATTTAACTTAATCCTAATTAATTAACTTGAATAAATAAGATTTCGCGTTTTCAAAGCGCGAAATCAATTAAAAAAATATTTTATTTAAATAAATAAGAAAATAGGCATAAAAATATGATTAATTTGACTAGTTTAAAACGTAATAGGGAAATTGACTTCAAAAAATTATTAAATTTGAATAATGGTAACAGAAAATTTTTAAATTATAACTATTAATCATTAAATTTTGAATAGAGCTATAAAGAGGAAAATTATATTGATAATTTTAATAATACAAAAATTAAATTTTGAATAAGAATATAATATTATAATTGATACTCATTAAATTAAATAGAGCTATACTAAATATAAATTATTAAAAGTATGATATAGTTATTATAATGTATTAATTTTTTAGAACATTATATAAAAAAATTTAATAATGATTATATTAAAAATTTTTATTAAAAATGTAGTCATTATTTTAAAAAATAATTTTATATGAAAAATTCAATAATGATAATGACGTAATTTTATGGATTTAATGAGATGTAATTTAATTTACAAATTATTTTTATTAATTATGATGGTTTTAATATAAGAAAAAAGCTTAAAATAGGAATAAATTTTATTAAATATTTATTATAATTTACCAACACTTAAGATGAAGCAACTATTAATTATGAAAAAAAATATAAGAAAGTTTAAATATGTGTTTCGATTTGATCGGCGAAGATGTGTTTTATAAATATTAATTATTGTATTTACGATGCAGGTGAAATCAAACTATTAAGAATATTAGTACAAGTCATAACAAAATACTACAAGTCACAACAAAAGGTAAAAAAAAAATAAAACAAGTCATAACAAAAGGAAAAAAAACAGAAATGAACAAAAGGGAAAAAAATACAAGTCTAATAATACTACATAAGTCTAGTACCCTACTTCTTCTGGGCTTTTAGCCCGAAAAGGCTATAAGTCAATCTATCGGGCTCCTTCGTCACTCTCGGCCTTTACTCACAGCCAACAGTGGAGTCCCTAGAGTCTGACTCGATCCCCGGCTCCTCATGGCGCGGATAACCCGGACCTCAAACTGATCATCCTGGTCTGCATCCTCAGCCTCATCCTCAGCCTCATCTTCACCCCGACTCTCACGCTCACCTCACTGGGTCATCGACTTGATGTCGACCGCAACACCCTCGAACATACTCGAAAGAAAGTTACTCGTGTAATGTATCGACTGGCCATCTAACGAACTCTGCTGAAACCGAGAAAAGTCAATAAAAGAATCTCCAAACTGACGCTGAGAAGTCTGAGGGGAGGAAAATTGAGTGAAGGCAAAATTGACTCTTAGGTGCTGGGAGACATAATCGGACGGTAAAACGCCCGTTGGGTCGGCGAAGAATGATGTGGAGACCGATGGGATGAATGATGTGAGACCGATGGGCTGAATGCTTGTCGAGAATGGAGTGGAGACGATGTGGAGACTGATGGGATGAACCGCCAGTGAAGGGAATATGAGACTGCTCATGCTGGGAGGACTGATGTGGCTGAGATGATGTGATTGTCTCTTGCCCCCCACGCCCACGCTGAGACTTGCGCGAACGCCTCGGAGGTTTGGGTGGTGGATGTTGCTGGGTCGGGTCTATAGGTGCAAGTTCTTGACTCAAAATGTCATGAACCTCAACATGCCTATCGAGATCGTGTCGTACAACATTTGTTGCATTGACGGACAACGCCCGCTCAGCAACCTGAGCAATCTCGCCTAAGCGATCATAACCAAAGGAGTCCGCGTCGAAAGTACGCTGGCCTATAATACTCAGACTACGAACGTCCTCCATCAATGTGGCCTGAAATTTTTATTAGAAAGAATCATAAATCGACAATAGTGTTAATAAAAAGAACCAAATGGACTGTAGGCGAAATACTCACCATGAGGCGCAAGGTCTCTGCAGAACCGTGAAAACCCCTCGCATTTTTAGAGTCCGTCAGATCCGTAACATACTTCACAGTAACCTGATGGTACCACAAGAGATACTCCGGATCTGCGGAAGGCTCGCCAACATAATCATCATCAGTCCCCACAAGTTGGCCGTGGTGATCATTCCAAACATGGATATATCCCTAGTTGTTATAACCATCTCCTATCAGATCCTCCAAACGGCTTCCTCTTGAGCAGGCTAGTAATTTCCGCCGCAGTGAGAAGTAATGCGTCGCCGGGTATCTGCTGGTGATAACCAAATTGGCGAAATACCCTACTAGGGTTGTGTGGCGCAACGACATCACCGCAGATGAGCCATGTCTGAGATCGCCATATGCCCTGTCCCACAAGACAAACCCTGGCAATACGACCCAAAAGAGTCGTGTACGGCATCCATACAACCTGGAATGGTAATTAAGTAAGAGATGCGTAATTAAAAGTCCGACACCGTTAAAAAAAACGAATAAAACATAAGTTATACTAATTGAATAGAATACTAACATCAGACTCTGCGAGAACTGCAAGCTGATCCTAGTACGTTGTCAAATTGAACCGCGTGATACCTTGAACTTTTTTCTCACGGGACCACCTGCACGGAGAAAGTAACATTAAATTGAGACATGACAGTACAGATCAAAATGTCAAAATTTACGAAGGTTTGATGTATAAGATTACCTCGTGCCCAATGGACAATCAGATAGATCGAGATCCCCACCCAGTATCTTGGGCTGAACCGTCAAAATCCGCTCCCAGGCCCAGAGCTAATTCAGAATGAAGAAATCATTAGCTAAAATCACCAATAATAATGGGAGAATATAAAATGAAACTAGAGAGAAATGAAAAGATAAAATACCTGAAGAAGAATCACACAGCCGGTAATAGCCTTAGCAGAAGCGGCCAGAGATGACTTGGACATGCTGCGGTACAAGTAACATAGTGCTGCACTACCCCAACTGTACTCCGAGCAAATCTCGGGAGTATGAAGAAAATGCACAAGATCGAGAGGAAAACTGTTTCTCGTAGTGTTTGAGAATAGTAATCCGCCAACGAGCCATCCAACAAAACAACGGGCTCGCTGTAGGTGTGCATCGTCAGGGGACAGGTCCGTCAAAGGATTATTCTCTATGTGAGTCTTTATTTCAGTGATGGAAATGCTCATCAATCTAGACTCCTCTGTCTGGAACCTAAATCCAAACATCCTCTCCAAATAGGCTGCCCAACCACCATCAGGCATGGTGTGATGTCCTGTAAATGGACGTCCATCAACCTGAAGACCCAAAAGAACCTCGACGTCCTGGAGTGTGATAGTAGCCTCATCCCGAATGAGTGGATGAGGAGATTTTCTGGATATTTCGCGATTTTAAAACGCTAGAAGAAATTTTTCGCGTTTTGAAAACTCTAAATTCTTATCAAATCGCAATTTATTTTAAATAATTTTTCGCGTTTCTGAAACGCTATACCCATTTTTCGCGTTTCCAAAACGCGAAAAATGATTACCCTTTTTTTATTCAATTTCTTCTCTCAACGGAATTTTTGGAAAGATGATTAAAACGATTCGCGTTTCAGAAACGCGAATTGTTAATCCAATTTTTCGCGTTTCCAAAACGCGAAAAATGATTAGCATTTTTTTATTCAATTTCTTCTCTCAACCGAATTTTTGGAAAGATGATTAAAATGATTCGCGTTTCAGAAACGCGAATTGTTAATCCAATTTTCTTGTTTCGCGTTTTCAAAGCGCGAAAACATTATATTTGTCCACAAAAAAAACCCTACACATTTTTTGTTCCACACTTTTGGGTTTGGCTTACCCAAAAGTCAAGCACCCATAAAACGGGTATTTATAACTATGCTGGTTGTTTCATATCCATATGATACTTCTAAATGAATTCCAACTCTTTCTTAGAAATTATTAAGAATCAGCGCACATTTTTGTCAACCTTAGATCATTGGAAAAATTGTACATTGATTTTTCGTAAGAAACCCATCAAAGAGAAATTCTTTTATTAGTAATTAATAGGATCATTACACAACTTTTATTGGGATCAAAATAAGATGAATTGCACAAAAACAATTATGGAATCAACAGTGGCTCCTACATATGATTATTCTACGTACTGCATACACTCAGTAAATCATATTACAGGATTAAATATCACTCCATACTCCATCTCTAGTTCGCCCTTGGGAATGTTCTTCTGGGGTAAAACTAAGATCAACGATTGTGAGAGATTTGTGGAAATAAATGGATTTAGAAAGATTCCGTTTGTTAATATGTTGTTCTAAAGTTTAATAGTCATTAGTAACTTGTTAGTGATTCTTTTTTTTTTTTTTGGCAATTAATAAGCGATATATTTAGAAAATGCCACACATTTAATCATATGTGGCATTATTATGTAACGAAGATGTTTCTATCTCTAGACTTTGCCTTATTTATATATTTATATATATATATATATATATTAGCTTAAAAAAAGTTGAGTCTACGAATGAATATGAAGCTAAAGACCACATATATAAAATACGTCTAGGTATGGGTCAAATAAGTCGCTCCCGTAATGCAGAATAAATACAGTTTTCAAAGGGGGGGAAACAATTATAAGGAAATAGTAGTAAAAATGTGAGTTTTGTTTGATTCGGAGGTCGCAAAGAACGTTACGTACTGCGGTTGCATTACGTAGTACTCCTATAAAATTAAGAACTGATCCTAGCTAGGAGATATAGACACTCCCTCTGTCCGAGTATTGTAAAGGACAAAAAGAAAACAAAGATTCGTTGGCCCTCCTAATACTGATATATATTTGGTATTTTGAACGGGGGGTGTTGTTGTGTAAGTAGAGATATGTATTATGCTGCTCAGACTTAAACTAGATGTCGTCTTAATACATTTTACGTCGGAAATTCTCATCACCTCACTACTATAAGTTCATTTTTTTGAAAGAAAAAATAAACCAGAAATCATAAGCACTTATAGCTAAAACATAGTAATTAGATTGCTACGTACAATAAGAAAAGGGGAGGAAAAAAAAATCAAGCTGGAACTAACTATGGCAAGAATGGAGTCAATTCTCTCCAGTACTTTTTATTAATATTTGCATCAATAACTACTAGGAAAAAAAAGAAAAGAAAAAAAGAAGTAAATTTGAAATGAGAAATGGTGACGCTTGCTTTTCCTGATGACTGATGTCTCTATTTCCATTTGGATGATACTTCTGATGACACTTTACTGCATATCTTTTTACTCTTTCCCTGTCTAGCTCCCTCTTTTCCATTAATTTCTGTCTTGTCTAACTTGTTCCCAGATGGACTGAAAATCTAAAAACATCTTGAAAAGCATCATAAAGAAACAGCGACCATTACTCATATCAACCATATTCCAGCCGGAGAAGTTGGGACAACGAACCCACTCCCCTCCTGGCACTCTCTCCAAAGGAGGCCTCAGACTATCTCATCAACGGGTGTGTTGGTCATCTTGACCGGTGATTCAGCCCATTCACCGGCCCTCATTGTCAAAGCTCAAAGGCATCATCAGCTTGGTACAGCAAATTCCGGTGCCGGAGTTTTGGACTTTGAATCTTTAAGCTCATTTTTTTTTTTCAAGAAGAGCCGCCCCTCTTTCATCACCCAATTTTTACAATTGTTATTGGTATGTTTTTGTTCCATCATTTTGTTGTTCGTTTGGATCTATTTACTCAGAAGTGATCTCTCCATGAAATGCCTATAAGAATCATCCTTTTTTTTTTCTTTCTTCCAGGGGTTTATACGCGATGGAAGGATCTAGTGGGAATTCTCTTGAGAAGCTGGTGAAGTTCGAGGTGAGACTGAGTACAGTATTCATGTGAGGGGTTCCAAGCTAGGGTTTTCTTTTATTATTATTATAACACTATTGTTATTATTATTTTATTTTTATATTTTGAGGTTTTGCATTCTATATAGTAATAGTAGTAGTACATGGGGCTCATTCCTATTTGTTTACATTAGTTAGTTTAAGAACATGACTTCTTTACCCTCAACTCTAACTTTTTTTTTTCTTTTCCTTTTTTTTTTTTAAAAAAAAGAAAGAACCTCAACTCTAACTTAAAATCAATTACTTTTCTCCCTGCAATCAAATTCTCACCGGTCACCATATTCATGGGCATTAATATCTTCGTTAGTTTTTACCAAAAAATAAAAAAAATAAAAAAAAAATAAAATCTTCATTAGTTGAATTTAAGGCAGGGTGTGCTGGGGAATTCGAAGGCTTTATCATATGCTCTTACAAGCATATTACGAATTTTTATTAAAATTTGGGAATTTTCAAGACTTCCCAATGATAATAATTGAAGTTGCTAACATAATGTGCAATTTTTTTTTCTTTGCGAACTTGCCATTTCAAAGAGTTGCTGCTTGATTAGAACTTTGGCAGCAACTTGTCTGAGCAAAATGTTGGTGGGTTCATTTATTGATTGCTGATTAATCTCAAGTAAACATACGTTTTCTGGATTTGACTTGGCTGAAGTGCACATAAATCGATCTCAGGTTCATTCTTATCTTGCCATTGCTTTATGAAACAGTTGCATATAATCACCACTGTCCCAGAGGCATAATTTAATTTTATAGAAGCCAACAAAAAACTCAAAATTAAATTTATGAGATTTATATCATCTTATATTTATTTATAGAAAAAAATAATTGACAAGTATATACGATATTCTATTGAAATTCATAGTATAATTTTCCAATTTACTTTACAGATTTTAATTTTGAAAATTAAATTATTATTTTGGGAATGTAATATTTGTGGGAGTATTAAATTTCGGATATTTTTCCATTAATAATTGCTTTTTTCTGTTGAAGAAAAGTGGGCTGATTAAGTTTGTTCAC